GGCAACGACTATGGAGACTTCCTGGTCTATAGTGGTAGAGTATCTTTACCTGAAATAACACCGGCAGCATAATGAAGAATGAAATCACACAAAAATACTGATCTAAACCCTATAGGTGCATTAAATAATAAACTATGCATTGAGGAAAACTCACTGAGCTGATGTGATTTTAAAGACATGGTAACTAACTGAGCTGTGGTGTGTTCAGGGGTCCTGCTCGTGGTGGCGTCCCTGGCCGGGTGGGTTCTGTGGTACAGCGGGAACATCGAGGGTCTGGCTGAGCAGAAGGAGAAGGGACACATCGGCAACGCCGTCGACCGAATCGCCCGCACCCTCAGCAGGAAGATCCGCACCTACCGGACCCACCACTGACCCACCACTGAGCTGAGAGGAGTTTTTATTTACAAAGTCTACTAAAAGTCTGTTGCATTTCAAGGAAAAAAAAGGTTACAAGCAAGTTATAAACTTTTCAGCAGCCGATAAAACTGCTGCTCTGTTACAAAGTGTTGTTCAGGTTTAATCACAAGCAGTGTTTTTTCTTTATTTATTTTGTTTTTATAACTCATCGTATTTGATAGGATCCAATAAAAATGTTTTGTGCCGTGTTTCTGTTTCAAACTCAGTGGATGTAATGTGTTAGTCTTTTATTCTGAAATATACGTTTTAATAAAAGAACTCTATTTTCAAGAGATTTCATGTATTTAATATTTGTTCTAATAAAATGTTGTTTGATTTGTTTAATAAATTTCACTAGAAGAACAATGTTTTAATTTTACACACACACAGTAAAGTACTACTGTATTTATGGGGACATTGCATGGACTTCCATTAAATTCTACATCCTAACTCCTAAACCTAACCTCAGCCCTGACCTGTGTTCATACAAATCATCGAAAAGCAGCAATGGTGACATCTTCAGTCCACTCAGTGAAAATATAAATTGTGAACATTATATTTATAAACTGCACTTTCATGGAGTGCACTGAAGATGTCACTGTTGCTTCTTTATTAGAAAATGTGAGAGCAGGTAATGTTTGATGTGCATTACATCAAAAAATATTAGTTTAATTCGTACTAATTATTTAGATTTAGTTTCAGATTTAGCCTGGCCTGCGGTGACAATACAAGTCTGATTTTTTTTTTTAGAAAAAGTTATTGCTTGAAACTTCTTTTTAGGATATATTTTATTAGATAATTTGTAATATTAATGTTTAAGCTAAATTTAAATATTATGCTTAATTTAAGAGTTAAATCTGTTTTACTGGTGTAAAAAATTTGTTTAAAAAACTGAAAGATCCAGTGCCCCGGCACAAACAGAGCAATATTGCATATGCTGTTAAGTG